TTTAGTATAGTCCCTAATATATTCCGATATTTGGAACCCATGTCCGTTAAGTATGTCGGAAATCTTGACTGTAGCACATATGAAGACTATTAGGGCCATTTGGGTCCAGTGGGTCCCATTCAGAGGTTTGGGTTTGCGGCCGCCCCGTTGAAGCTGGCTCATATCAACTCTATGATATAAGCCCTGCCCAATAATCGCCCGAGTTATCCTCATGTTAACCTACTCACTAAGTTCCCCCCTCCCCTATACCCTGAATCATTCAGGGTGGGGGGTTGGGGTACTTGAGGGCGTAATGTTTAGGGTTCTGGAGAACCACCTGGAAAAGACAACGGAACATGACATGGACACTCAGCTTGTATAGGGTTCACGGGGATAATCACCAACATTGCGTTTCTGGATTCCTTTTATACCTATGGTATAGGGCATAGGGGTACCTCAACTAGACGTCAGATTGGTAATTGTCCAGGCCCCGATATCAGACCCAGAGAAGGATCACAATCCTAATCGTCCCCCACATAGGTACCCCACTGTGACGGGCTAAGGGAGTGCCGCAGTGCTTCTTACTGCCCTAAACCCTACACCCTCAACCCCCTAAACCCCAAACTAACCTTAAACCCTAAACCCTCCTACTTCCCCAGGCGGCCAACACGTTTGGGATGTAGGCTTTAGGGTTTAGACCAAGCCCGCCCACAAACTGCAGGATTATGCTAGGTAGACATCTTTAGAAACACTAGTGTGTTCTAGGATAATGGTTATCAGAGACACCTGGCTACAACTTGGGGCTTTTCTCAACTAGGTGTATGTAGGGGCCATGTGGATTTGGGTTGCGGTTGCTGCAGTTGTGGGCTAAACCTTAAACCCCCAACCCTAAACCCTGAACCCTAAACATTACACCCTAAACTTAACACAGGTCTAGGATTTGGGGTGATCTTCCGAAAAATCTGCGGCTCCATTTTGAGCTTGAGGTTTCGGGTTTCCGGCACGAGGAGGGCTAATACTAACACGAGATGCATCTGAACTCGTTGAAGAGCTAGCCATGCTTCGGAATTTTTTGCTTCAGGTTTACAAGCGCCGGGTTTTCAAATCTGTCAGGCTAACAAGGTCAAACCCTAAACCCTAAACCGCTAAACCCTAAACCTTAAGGTGATAGTGGTATTCATCCTCGTGAGTTGCTACTGTTGATTGGCAAAATGTGGACAAAATCACGCATGAGCTAGGGTTTGAGGTTTGGGGTTTAGGGTTTAGGGTTTAGGGTTTAGGGTACAGTATACTGCCATAGTAGCACGCTAAACTTTGAACTACCTTGCTTCCCAGGACTCAGTGAACCCTAAACCCTAAACCGGAAGCCCTAAACCTCAACCCTGAGCGCTGAAGGCCTTCTCGTGCAGGCCACTTTCACAAGGTCAGCCCAAACCACCGAAAAGGGTTTAAAGTAGGTTTAGGGTTTATAGTCCCCTTTAAGTAGATAGAATATGGGGCTTTGGGGATCTTATTATAATATACCCAAAGCCACATTCTATCTACTTAAGGGGGACTATAGGGTGTGGGGTTTAGGACAGCGGGCCACCTCCATATGCTGAATACCAGAGTTCAAGATTAGAATCCTTATTGAAGGGACTCCCCACAAGAGACCCTAAGCCGCATCGCTCAACATCCAGAGCCTACACCGTACTCCACACTGAACTCCATAGGGTTTAGGGTTTAGGGTTTAGGGTTTAGTTTTTTTTGCCGGAGGCCTACCCTAACAAGACAGACAATGAAGCGCGGGCAAAGGTTCCAAAATCTCAGTCAGTCGCGCTGCTTGATAGAATCCTGTTATCGGAGGTATATGGCCTAAGTCAAAGCCATGCAGCTCCCTCAGCCCAGGCGCTTGAAGCCTAAAAAACCCTTAACCCAACACCCTGAAGCCCAAACCCTGAAACCCACTAAACCCTATACCCTAAGCCCTAAACCACTAAACCCCAAACCCTAAATCCCTAAACCCCAAACCCTAAAATCCTAAATCCCCAAATCCCCAAACCCTAAAATTCTAAATCCCTAAATCCCCAAACCCTAAAATCCTCAACCAGTTTTCTTGAGCCCAAGGCTTCAGATGTGGACCAAGATGAGTTGAGCCGGGCATTGCAGATGCCTCGGCTTTTTAGGGTTGAGGGTTTAGGGTTTAGGTTTAGGGTTTAGGTTTAGGGTTTAGGTTTATGGTTTAGGGTTTAGGGTTTGGGGTCTAGGGTTTGGGTTTAGGGTTTAGGGTTTAGGTTTAGGGTTGAGGGTTTAAGGGTTTAGGGGTTATTGGGGGTTTTTATAGGGGTTTTATGTTTTATAGGGGTCTATGGGGCATAATGGAAAAGAAAATGGAAACTACTAAAATAGGGTTTAGGGAATTTAGGGATTTGGGGATTTAGGGTTTAGGGGTTAGGGGTTTACGGCCTGGCCATCATTGGTCCCAAACCCTCAAGGGTTTAAATGGGGTTTTATAGGGGGTATATATGGGGTTTACGGGTCCCCCTATAATGGAAAAGAAAATGGAAAATGAAATGGAAGCTGAATTAGGGTTAGGGTTAATAGTAGTTTATTTGGGGATACTATGGGTTTAGGGTTTAGGGGTTTAAGGTTTGGGGTTTGGGGGGTTTAAGGTTTATGGGTTTAGGGTTTAGGGGTTTAGGGTTGAGGGGTTTGGGGGTTTAGGGGTTTAGGGGTTTACGGGTTTAGGGCTTAGGGGTTTAGTGACTGTAAGGAAGATGGTCCAACAAGTATACGGGGACATAATTCGACTATATCAGGACCATGTGTATGACTGGGCATGCGAGAAATTTAGCAAACAGGGAAGAGGGGCATGACTTCAGGGGCGACGACAAACCCAAACCACCAAGCCCTAAACTCTAAGCCCTAAACCTTAAAATCCTAAGCCACGTGTGCATGTTCCAAATTTCACACGTTTAGGGCCTAAACCTTAGAGTTTAGCGTTCCCTGCTCTTCTCAAAATTAACTTGAAAACCATACTTTTAAAGCGGAGGTGCTTTATAGCGCCCGGTTTGGGTTTCCAAGTTAGCTGGGGGGATTGTATACGGGCGAGCTTTATGTTAAGAAAACTACATGCAGCCTCCAGGGTCTGGGAAGTTTCTTAATCGAAAGGCCTTGATGAGAAATGTAGCTGCCTAACGAGAGTCTGAAACGCATTTC